TAAAGCAACAAATCCTAAACTTTCCACCTGACATTAGACTTACCGTTAGCCTACAAGAAGCTAAAGGTTTTCTTCCTGACCATTGGTATAATGCACTGGCTTCTGTCAGTGATCACTTCTCTCATTTTCTTGTTTGCCACATGCTCCAAATTTAAGTGAGAATTCTGACAATTCAAGATATACAAGCATCACCAACAAAAATCACTTCTACCAGTAGTTGTATTTTAAAATAGGACATTAATTTCTACAGGGAATAGTGAAACAATACAACAGATTCTATTAATATGTCCCTGCTACTCATCTTTGGCAGTATAGCACAGTTAAAGACTCCTGAAGGTTTAGGACAGATGAAATTCTCAATTAGTTCTTGAGTGAATAATCCCCACAGTTAATGTAACACAATGGAAAGAGCAACAATGATAGCAGAGAAGCAAAGTCCTAATCTGCAGCAAGTGAGATTTGCTCAAATATAACAGCTAGGAGTACAGAAACAACAAAAAGAAGATGCATACCTTCAGAAGACCACAATATGCAAGGATCTCCTGTGAGATATCCCTGCATCCCTTGACAACCCTTAAATGAGGTCTGGGAAGGTTCCAGTCACTCAGCAGCATTGCATGCACCTGAGCTCCCCTGCATTGTCCCTGCCTTCCCACCAGGTGCTCAATCACAGTTTCAAGCTATGGTTTAGCATTTCTTCTACAGTTAAGAATAATGTTACTGGCTTTTAGCAATGCTAGTCATAATCTTACATTTGTGGCACTTCAAGAAATCATAGAAAGAAATCATACAATGTTGGAAGGGATCTCCAAGATCATCTTGTTCCAACCCCCCTGCCACGAACAGGGTTGCCAACCACTAAATCAGGCACAAGATCAAGCTGCCTAGGGCCCCATGCAACCTGGACTTGAACATCTCCATGGATGGAACATCCACAACCTCTCTGGGCAGCCTACTCTAATGCTTCACAACTCCGAGTGAAAAAATCCATACTCATTCTTATCTTCCTGTTCCTGTGGAACAGGACACACTTTCTATGAGCTGCATTTTTAAACTCTCAACATTAACATTAACAAAAAGGAGATAAACCTCTGCAGCAAAAGAGAGAGGTCATTGTATGGGCTCCTACCAACTACTTTTCCTTTCTTACATTAGCAAAGCCTCTATTTCAAATTGTACTCATGTCATTTGATCTTTTAATTTCTAACACTAATCTTAACAGTAGCTTTATTTCTTACACGGGCCGAGAAATTTTAATTTCCCAGGTTATTGTTTCTGATAGCAACTTAACTACACACTACTGGGCACATTCAGTTAAAAATGTAATATATATATATATATATATATATATTTGTACTATGAAAGATTTAGAAGGTGTCAAGCTCCTTATGAAGCTAGAAACAAGGTGCTTTAAGCCAAGCCAGTGTGCCCAGGATATATGGAAACTAAGAAAAGCATCCTGTTCCTTTCAGTGCATTAGTTATTCCCAATGAATAATACACTTCATAAACTGAGAAGTCTCCACTTTTGATGATATCGAGCAGTGTGCTATGAAAAACACATTATGATTTCAAGATTGCAAGAGATCATCATGCTTACAGTCATATTTCACTGGGGTACCTATAGCCTGAGAAAGGTGCCCTTAGTTTCTTGTAAGCTATGTAGGACCAAAGAAACATACTTATTTCTCTTTAGTTCCTAACCCCTCCCCCTCTCTGCCCCAAAATACAACAATGACCCATCTGTGCACATACTAGAGAGCAATTTCTAATATTTAAACATGGGCTAATCTGCCAACACTGATGTGTCAGGGACAGAACATAATGAATGTCACAATGCTTGGCCTTTCTTTTCACTAAAACTGTTTGAAGAGAAATGGGGAACAAGAAAGCTAATGAAAAAAACAAACCGCTGTGGATTACAGTTGATTTAAAAAACAACATTATTCTCTTCAGTTTTTCTTTGAAAACATTTTCATGTTTCAATTCTCTATTAGTTTCAAGAAAGAACATATTCCTCCTGAAATTACGTTTGTGGGCTGCAATTTAGTACTACAAATGGTTAATACTTTTATAAATCTTAGCAAACTTAACTGCACTTTGAATCATATCTATTCTTTGATATATTTGCACTGCACTTAGGCTATGATTACTGTGATTATTTCACTGGGATACCACTGTGGCAGTTAAGATTACAAACTAAAAAAATAAAAAAATCAGTTAAACAAAATTCAGTAATCATTAAACACTGGATCTCATGTGTCACAAGATGAGGATCTTCAAGTACTTAAACAGCACGTGGCTTCTGTCTTGCAGCCACTGAATGTGATGGCATTTTGTTACACATCTATACGGCTTGACATGGTGGCATGCAGAAACAACTGAGCTAGCATTAAAAAAAGCTCTTGCACTAGAATTGATATAGAATTAATATAAAACTCTGCAGAATTATATACCAATAGGAGCATGCCACTTCACCTGGATTGATATATTTTCAATCTACTCTCTCGCAGAGATCTAAAGTTTCAATTTGGAATGACAAACACTCTGCATTTTGTGCTAGTTGTTCTTAGAACCAGTGCCGGACCGTACAGATGAGTGGGTATCTTTCTGTTTACATTTTGGGATCTGAATTATGTACCTTAAAACTGAAGTAACTGCAAAGGCATTATGATAAGTTACCATTCTCTACACTGTGACATTTACCTGTCCTTTTTCACCACCTATCTGAAACACTTCCTTTTTCCCTTTTTGATGAGGACAGACATTCTTTTTTCTATGATCCATTGTAGCTGTATTAATTCAGGCTAGTAGCAAGGTTCAAAAAAGTAGTGCCAGAGGCAATGTGTGAGAACAGACTGGATGTAACAGGAGTGTTGCTGACAGAAAGATGTCTGATTTGTAAACATCAAGAGGAAACAGACTTCATAGTGCATGGGATTTTCCAGCAACAAAGTATTAAGCAAAAAGAATAAGCCACTTGCGGGGCTACCTACTCGCACTGCAAGGAAGAAGAATGAGGCACCAAAGGGATTAACTTAATGTCCTCTCTGAAGTCTCTGGTAAACCAGAGGACAACACAAACAGGGAGAGCAACAGTAATTGTACTAATAAATTAACTAATTAATGCCTGACTTTTTGGGATCAGTGTGTGTCTTGAAACAGGCAACTGAAGGACTTGCTCTGAAGCAGCAGGCTTTGGTACAGAAAAGTGAGGTAGACCTGGTGTACTGATGCTCCACTGCTGCACTGCAGCAGACTGCTCCAAGTCCCAGACCTTCACGTCGATGAACAGCACCCAGTAAGACCTGGGAGGGCCTGGAGACAACTGCTATGCGCTGTGAGTCCCCTCACTTGTAAATGTAATGACAAGATCAACTATTTCAGAAAAGCAAGCACAGAAAGAGCTGTGAATAGTATTGTAGTACAGTAAAACATTGGTTGCAAATGGTATCCTGGGGTCCATCAAAAGAGGGGTGGCCAGCAGGGACAGGGAGGTGATTGTCCCCCTCTACTCTGCTCTTGTGAGGCCCCATCTGGAATACTGCGTCCAAGTGTGGAGCCCCCAGTACAAAAAAAAGACAGGGAGCTGTTGGAGAGGGTCCAGAGGAGGGCCACTAGGATGATCAGGGGACTGGAGCACCTCCCCTATGAGGACAGGCTGAGGGAACTGGGCTTGTTCAGCCTGGAGAAAAGAAGGCTGCGGGGTGACCTCATTGCAGCCTTTCAATACCTAAATGGAGCCTACAGAGGGGAGGGGAATCTTTGAAAGAGTTGATAACTGCAGGATGAGGGGAAATGGTTTCAAGTTGAGGGAGGGGAGATTTAGGTTGGACATCAGGGGGAAATTCTTTACAGAGAGAGTGGTGAGGTACTGGAACAGGCTGCCCAGAGAGGTTGTGCATGCCCCATCCCTGGAGGTGTTCAAGGCCAGGTTGGATGGGGCCCTGGTTTAGCATTAAACGTGGAGGTTGGTGGCCCTGCATGTGGCAGGGGGGTTGGAGATTCATGATCCTTGAGGTCCCTTCCAACCTTGGCCATTCTGTGATTCTGTGATTCTGTGATTCTGTGATTCTGTGATCGGGTGCTGTAGGAAAGGATGATACACTTCTGAAATGTAATGTATTAACACTTATGTTGTGGTTCAACCATTTGCTTATTAGTTAGAAGCTGTTTCTTGAAGCAGGAGATCTCAGTGAAGGCAACTTTCACAGTTCTGATACACACTTCTACCGAAACATGACCCAACTGTCTCATTTTCCAGGGGAGCGGCGCCGGGCGGAGAGCAGCAGGACGCGCTGCGGGGTTCCCCTCTCACAGGTGGGTCCCCGAGTGTCCAGTGGGAACGGGGGGCCTTTCGGGGAGGAGATCCGAAGCGCACTCCCGACGTCCGGGACGTGGTGCGGCGGGGACCGGGCGGCTGTTTGGCGCGTGATTTCCCTTCACCTCCCGCTCCCTCCGTTCGCACAGGGCACCCCGCGACAGTGCGAAAAGAAGACGCGTTCGGGAGCGGGTGCGCAGCGGACGGCCGGGGCAGGCCACCCCTAAGAGCCCCCAGCCCCTCTCTCAGCCTGGTTTCTCCCCCCGCCGCCCGGCACAACCCCCGCCCCCCTTCGCCCTCCCCGCTCCACCCGCCCGGAGACTCGCCCCCCGCCCGCAGCCTCGCTTCGCGCCACCCGCTCGAGGGGCGCCGCGGGCGGCACTGCGCATGCTCCGTAGCGCGACGGTGGGGTTGGGGGCGGCGGGGCAGAGGGGACTCCGCGCCCCGGGGACAGGATACGCCCGTCGGCATCCCCCGGGTCGCTCCCGCACGGCGGTTTCCCGTTCCCTAAGCTCCCCTTCGGGAGAGCCGGTCCTCGCCGACACGGCAGTCGAAGGTGCCGTGGGCGGCCGGTGTGCCGCCACCGAGGCGGAGGGCGGTGCCGTGGGCGGCCGGGCGTGCGTCGCGATTGGCCTCCGGGCGGCGGCTGCCTTGTCAGTTGGGCGCAGGGGTGGCCCCGGAGCCGCTCGCCCAGCCCTCTGACGGGATGAAGCCTTTAGGGGGATGCGGCGCTCCGTGCATTTTGATTAAAGCCCCTCGTCTCCCTCCAGTCTGAAGGCAGGGCACCGGGGAGCACGGGGCGGAGGGGCCTGCACGGGGCCGGGCGAGGGAGAGAGAATCCCTTCGGTGTGTCACGTATGGCTCTATAGGAGAAATCATCTCTGGGAATATTGTGGAAAGGACGGAGTATAAGTTGAAGGCGCCCAGGTTTAACTCACGCTCGCGGGCGCGCAGCATGAAGATGCAGAGGTGGTCCACGCGGTGGAAAACGAAAAGGTGGCCCCGGGACTCGGCCGTGACCGTGCTCATCACCCTCGCTGTCCTTCTCCAGGCTGCGGAGGTCAGAGGAGGTAAGGAAACGGACGCGCCGCGGCCGCCGCTCTCCCCCCGCGTCGGGGAAGAGATCCGAGGCCAGGCCAGGGCTGTCAGAACGCCTCTGCTGCCGGGGCGAGGAGGAACCCTGAGGGCTCGGGCCCGGGGCGCGGACCTTTCCGAGAGCCCCTGGGACCGCGGGTGCCCGCTCGGAGCCGCCCGTCCCACCTCAGCGCCGCTCTAGGCTCAGCACCGCCGAGGGGATGCGCTGGCAGGACGGGATGGTGAAACAAATACGCGTTGCGCTGAGCGATTTCCCGTCGTCCGGCACCCCGCTCGGTTTTTATAGAGTGTGCCTGCGATTTTCAGTTCTGTTGAACTTAGGTTCTTGACGCTGCTGAAGCTCACGAAGTTGTGGCAGAAACTGAGCGACAACCATCTGCCTCCTCTGAGAGGCGAGGAAGGGGAAAGCTGGATGTGGAGACTCCTCTCGGATTTTCTCCTTTCCTCCCCTCGCCTGATTTTTCCTTTGCAAAGGCTCGCAGCGGGCAGAGTGTTTTCCAGTGCGACAGAGTAGAAGTATGGCAGGGGCCCTTGGCAGCGAGGAGGGCAACCCCGCAGGTGGGCGCACGCCTGAAGGACGTGCCGGGGAGGAGGGGGCCCAGCCCCGGGCTCCGCGCGGGCAGTGCTGCCGTCCCCAGCCTCCCTCCGCTCTGCCGCCTCCCGGGGGGAGGAGGAAGAGGGGGGGCGAGTGGTCCCTTAGGTGTCCGTGGACACGGTGGGTGCGGTGCAGCCCGCTAGCGACCTGCAGCAGATGAAGGACACAGAGGCAGCCCCCGCAGAAAGAAAGGGAATCTCTGCCCCCAGGCACGGCTCGGCCCTCGGGTACCGCCGCGCCGTCCCGTCCGGTGCGCTGCGATTTTGTGAGCTGAGCTCGCACATCTGCGGAGCTGCGATGCGTGAGCCGTGGCGGCAGGAGCCCCTTCGCCTCCTGCCGGGCTGGAAACGCTGCCCGTCTTCCTCCCTCCTTCATTCGTCCCGCAGGCGCTTGTGGGGGCCAACCTAGCTGGGTCTGAGGATTTCATTTTTCTGTGTGTCAGACACAGAATCATAAAATCATAGGACGGCTTGGGTTGGAAGGGACCTCAAGGATCATCAAGTTCCAACCTCCAACATCTATGAAGGAGTTTTAACTCTCCACCAATAAAGTTTTAACTTTTAGGCTTTTTTATTATTATTACTTTCACGAAGTATTTCTCGGTGTGAATCTCCACATTCTGAATCAACGGGTGTCCTAATGGCAGCTCAGCAAGGTGATCGGGGTCTCCGTTGAAGCCCTTTATACCTGGTCACAACCTTGGCGGTGTCAGCTCCGTCAGGACTTCTGCCCCCTGCTGGCCCCATTTCTGCCAGAGATTTGTAGGGGTCAAATTTCATCCTCGCTGCAGTTCCACGGACTCCAGTGGAGTTATGCTGAGGATGAATTAATCTCGCAGAGCTTCAAAGATTCGGTTTTCCGTTACTATGTCAAAACTAAATTTATTGAAGAAGAAATGCCGTATAGAAAGGCATGATAGATTTTGATGTTTTATGTCACTTTCCTGTGAGTACAGTAGAAGTCACTCTGGTGAGCAAGATTTATGTAGATGATCTTTTCACGTGTTGACACAAATGAAAAGTTGAATGAAAATCTAAACCCAAGCAGCCTGGAAAGCAATCAATCAATCAATCAAACAAACAAACAAAACCCCAGAAGTTAGCTGGTACTTCCTTAGAAATTTTCAACATTGAGCACATTGATAGGTTTTTAGGTTTTATGTTTGGTAACTATTTTAAAAATCCTTTCCTCTAGTCCTCTGTATAAAAGACGCTTTGGAAAAAGTGCTTCAGGCTTCTCATGTTTGTAGGGGCATTCTGAAGAGAAATTACTGCTTGCACTTTTAGCAAATACAGTGTGCCATTTACGTAGAGATGCAGGGAGCTGTCTGTGCAGGGCTTGATCTGTTACTGAAGTCAGAGTATTTCCACTGGCTACCAAGAGAGAAGAATTTGGCACAATTTCCCTGATAGAGTATGAGGGAGATACTTCGGTGTTGTCTTTTGCCTATTCTACTCTTCCTTAAAGTAGTTTAGAGATAAAATAGGACATAATACCTCACATTTGAAAGCTGGAGAGGGAAACTACTCAGATAGAATAGAATACTGCAGTGGGGAAACAATATGACTAAGTACAAATGCTCCAAGTTTTGACCAGGGTAAAATATGAATCATAGCCCTTATAAAATCTATTACATTAAATCCTGTATTCTTTAATTGTCTTTTCATAAAATGCCACTTTGTAAAGAAATGTAAAGAAAATTTCTTTATGTATTTGTATAAAGTATTAATTATACATCAGCAACTTCTTAAGACAGCAGAATCTTTTCCATTCAGAAAAACCTCAAAAGATTCCTAAAATTCTTGACTTTTTTTCAAGTTGCTTTATTTAACATAGAAAAGAAATGGAAGTATAAGGTGTCATCCACAGAATCGAGAAAGGAGGTGTGAAGATCTGCTTATTTCTTCTTTAGAAGGGTTATAGAAATGAGAAGGAGCGGAATGGAAAAGCTAGTGACTCATATTTGGTCAGCTCAGTGCCCACCAGCACTTAAGCAGCTCTTTTTAGAAAATATTTTTGCTTTAGGACTCGCCAAAAGTCAACAGTATTCAGTATTTTAAAAGACATCCTTTGATTTCCTTTCCCCTTCCTCACCTTTTAATACTAAATCTATTGGTAATGTGTTGGAATGAATAAACTCATTTAGTCAAAATGGCATGGCTTCAACACTATAAATTTTTGTAAGGCTCTGGCATCAATGCAGTATTGTGATTCTGATTTAATTTTCATGGGCAAGAAATGAAAAATTAGCCTTTTTATTATTTATAAGCTTTTTCAATCCAGCTCTGAGTGCAAAAAGATTTAAGATTTCTTACTGAAAATGGGACTTTAAAGCTGTATAAAGAAAAGATACTTTCTGTGTGAGGGGCAAGTAGATTGGCTCCTAGTATACCGTAAATGCTTTTTACAGTCGTCTTAGGAAGTACAAAGGTTCCTTGTGCTTCCCCTGGATGGACTTGAAAACTAACAGGAGTTCTAGGTGCAGAAGGATTGGAGAACTGGGTCCACTAGTACTGGCAAAAAGACAGTTTTCTTTGTGGGCTCAGTACTGATATTTAATTGCAATTGCTTAGTAAGTAACCCCGGGAAGATATGGATCTGTTTATTGAATGAAAACTGTTTGCTGTATCTGATTACTCTAAACCAGTAAAGAAAAGGTGTCCCTAAAGTAGAAAAGGATTAATCTCTTCTCAGAACTGTTACTGATATGACACTTCTAACTGATTCACTTTTAATATTGAAATAGAATGTGAAACACTTTCATAATTTTTTTTTTAATTTCACAGTGAAATAGCTATTTTTGTGTTAATTTTGGTTTAACAAAATACCATAATCCTTCAGAAACAGGAAGCATATAGAGGTTTCTCAGACAAAATATAGACAAAAATGATTAAATCAAAGGGAGATTTGGCTAGATTGTACTAGTGATCCTAGCTGAAGTTTTTTCTGAGTCCCAGGGATCAGCAGGTGAAATGGTCCTCTCTTCCCAGTGTAGAGCAAACGAGACTTGCATGCATATGTCTGTTTTACTATATTATTAACATTTTAAAAATTATTTTTTGGGTAAAATAATTATATAAACATCACCAGCAGCCATCTGGTGGAAGAATGACTGGTATTGTGTCGCACATTCTCTAGTGTATGAATCTTTGCATTTAATTTAGAAAAAGACCTCTCAAGGATCTCAGAAAGAACTATTCAGACTGCAGGCTGTGCAGAAAAAAAGTTGCTGCGCATTTCTCAACTTCAGTTTTGCGTGTACCTATTAAAAAGGGATTGTTACATATTCATTATTGCAGTTGTCTTGCTCAAAGATACTTCATCTCCTCCAAATGTGGCTCTTAATTCCAACAAGGCTGCAGCATAATAACAGAGCAGTGACATTTCTGCTGAAGTTACACCTAAAACACACTGGAGCAATTATGTCTCTCCTGGATTTGTCTTATTCAGTGGTGAACAATAGGATTTCCATCTGCCAGCAAGATAAAGAAGTTGCATCTCTCTGTAGAGTTCTCCGCTTCTTTTCAGAAATCCTCCTACCACTGATTCAGTTATAATTGTTCTGAATATTTGCTGATAATATGGGGGAATAAATTAAGCAGAGCTTGGATGGAATCTCTAGTCCTGCAAGACTGCGAAGTCTCATGTAATGACACAGATTTGCCCTCTGGCTGGACACAGCAGATGGCAGTTGCTTGAAAGGACACTCATGCCTGTTGCAGTGGCTTATAACTGTACTGCTCAGTATTAAATACCAAGTTTACAGACTGTAAATGTAAGGATTAATTGCTGACTGTTATAACAATAGTAATAGAATGTGACAGAACTTAAATTCTTTTTAACACATTATCACACATAAAGGGTTGTAAAAATCTTTGTGAATTCTAAGGCTGGGACTTATGTCAAAGCGTTAATGCAAACAGTATGTGAAGTAGATATTATTTGGCAGAGCTGATACTATGGAAGCAAAGTATTTGCTACAAAGCAAATTGAAAGATGTGTTATAAAGTACGATTAAAAACTGAAGATCCAGATCCTGCTACGAATAACAGCACTAGCAGCCTGCAATTTAAATCAACTGCAGTTATAAGTCAAATTGTTGTCACTTTATGACAGTGTTACCATAGCTTATGCTTTTACTCCATGTGTTTCCTCATCTATGTATCTATTCAAAATATTTTAGTAATCTGAGAGGTTTCAATCAAGCATTCATAGTTTAAAAAAAAAAAAGGAAAGAAACAGTCAAAGTTTTACAACCTCACTTTCTGCTTAAGCAGAACTGCAAGTATCAGTAGGGTACAGAACTGGGACTAGCTTCCTTGGCTTGCTGTCAAATGGGAGATTATGTCTTTGACAACAATGAAAGTATGGTGAATTTCT